AGACCCCAAAATATGAAAATAGACTTTTATTTCATGTTTGAAAGAAACCAGATTGAGAATTCTCACCAGAACACACACATTGTCTCTTTCTCTCTCTAGAACACATACAGATCTACCGAGTTAATCACCGGGTATTTGTTTGATGAACTAAAACGCAATAAAAACTACGTAAGTTGATACTATCAATACAAGACCTCGTGTTTTAATACCTTGGTAAATACTATAGTATAGCACAAGTACAGTTGGCTACATGGTTCTTCACAGTAAATAGTCATGTTCAGTTGATAACACGGAGCCCAGATGTAACACTGCGCTGCTGTTTGTCTCCTCGTCCCCTTGTCCATCCTGCTGCGTTTCCTCACTAATCAGCTGATCATAAGCGAGGTCATCTGAGTCTGCTGGCTTGGATGAGATATTTAAACATTCTCCTTCTTCCTGGTCGGAAGATTGTTGCTTTAAAATAAAGTCTGACTGGAAAAGGGCCTGGATCTGGGTGAGGAAGGGGTGTCCCTCCTCATCTGGCAGCGGTTCCAAGTACCTCGCTAGAGACGCCAGCATCTAGAAGGAGGAGGTCAAGTCAAATTAGGCTGACAATAAAACAGTTAAAGCAAAAGGAAATCAGTTAACAAAGCCTTTAGCCACTGAGATGTGCAAACTGGCCGGACTGACCTTCTCCAAACAGGTGAGATGGGAATCTCTGCGGAACATCTTGTTCATCTGCACACTCCTGACCAACCAGAGGAGCAAAAAACTGTTTAAACACTTACTAAAAAATTATTCAAAAACAAAATAAAATGCGATCAGCGCACAAAAATTATTAAATTGCTTTTCAACAAAACATCTGGGTCAATTTCAAGTGGCTTTTTTGACATGAATTCCAGTTGTTGAAAACCACATTAAAAGCTTCAACAGGAGAGACTGTGCATACAGCAATTGTTGCCTGTTTGTCAGAAGCCAAACCTTTATGGTAGAGTGGCAAAGAGAGAGCCACTGTTGAAAAATGCTCATATCAAATCTCAACTAGAGTTCGTCAGAAGGCATGTGGGAGACTCTGAAGTCAACCGGAAGAAGGTTTGTTGATCTGATGAGACCAAAATTGAGCTTTTTGGCCATTACACCAGATGCTATGTTTGGTGGACACCAAACACTGCACATCATTACAAACACACCACTTCCATGGTGAAGCATGGTGACGGTAGGATCATTATGAGGGGATGCTTCTAGGCAGCAGACCCTGGAACGCTTGCAAAGGTAGAGGGAAAAATGAATGCAGCAGAGTATAGGGAACTCCTGGAGGACAACCTGATGCAAATGAATTGTGGCTTGAGAGACTATTTGTTTTCCAGCAAGACAATGACCCAAAGCATACAGCCACAGCTACGCAGAAATAGTTTACAGACAATAACGTTTTGAAATGGCTGAGTCAGAGCACATTCAATCAAGAATTTGTGGCTGAACTTGAAACGGGCTGTTCACTGACAATCCCTGTGCAATCTGACAGAGCTTGGGCAACTTTGCAAAGAAACATGGTTTAACATTCCAGTATCCTGATGTGCAAGGCTGATTAAGACCTATCCACACAGGCTTAGTCCTGTAGTCATGGCCAAAAGTCAGGGCTCCAAACTAACTTTTTCACTGGCAGCACCGGTGCGACCAACTTTCTCATTTGGTTGCATCTTCCACCTTGTCACAGGCCAAAGGTATGACTTGCTGAAAATTTTCTTATTGATAGACTCTACAATTTAGCAAAACGCCTCACATTGTAGGCGGCAATAGCTGCTGCTTGTTTGCTGCGGTGTGGTGAGACAGGTGTGAAAATGACTTTGAAAAGAGTAAACTAGGGCGTTTAAATGTCAGACTTGTCGCAGATTTTTTCTTTTTCTATTATAGTAAAAACAGCGAAGACACATGCGCTCCAGTTGTAAAGAGAAGAACCTTATTTTTAAGCGTAAATACCGCAGTACACAGAAGTTACAAAGATACTACTTTGCACCACTGTGGTAAACACAGTATCTGCCGGTTACAGTGACACTAATACAGCTCAATGATCATCATGCATTCACACCAATACAACCACTTAAAATTGCAATTGCAAATGCCCTGCCAAAGGTGCATCTACTCAAGCCTGACTTGAAAGTAATGAATACTCATGCACTTATTTTATATTTTTAATTAATTGGCATTACTTTGCAGAAATCCGTTTTCAATTTGACATGATTTTTTTTTTTTTTTTTTTTAACATCCAATTAAAAAAAGACATGAAATTGAATGTTGAAAATCAATAAAAGGGTTGTAGATACTTCTGATAGGCACTGTGGGCGTGCATGTTTAGGAATGGGCACTACGGTCTCGTGTCTCACTCACCCGGGTGTTTGAGAGTATTTGTGGATGATCCACTGAGCCCTCCTCATCGTCTGTTCCCAGTCTGGGATGTCTTGTGATGACAGGAAGTCGAATCTGTAGGGCAGCTCTGGAGAAGAACGGAGACAGAGACTCAGCCAGAGGATAAACTGTGTTACTGTGTACACAAATCGCTGACCTACATTGTCAGCCTGATTTCAAAGCCTCTTGATCTGAACTGTTTTGAAGTTTTGAGTGGTGTCTTATTGTGTGTGTGAGAGTGTGTTACACATACTCTGTGGGCTTGAAGGCTCTTGGCTCTCTTTTACCAACAAGCAGGTAGTTTGGGAGTGGGGGGAGGGGTTGGCTGGGTCATATGGGCTCACGATCATCCCGATAAAGGGGGCTCCGCCGCGTGAGAAATAACTCTAGAACAATCAAGATGCAGAGATTCCGATCACGTGTTCACACAGAAATCATGTGTGAATCCTCTCATTGGTTCAGTTGTACCTGGAACTGGTCCTGTGTGTTTATGTCCCGTACTGAAGGGTTCGGGTGGAAGGAGGGATGTGAGTGGTACCAGCCCACCACACTGAAGCCCAGAGACGACAGCACGTCACAGGCCTGCGTCTGAGACACCGGGTCCATCTCACACTGCAGACCTGTGCTCACGCTGTTACATGGCTCTGCTGCACAGATCTAAATGGAAAATGATTTGGCACTGAACATAGTTTTCAGAACACACTCTGAATAAAAGTTCCATCCTCATTTGTCTGTGCTGTCTTTTCCGACTCCTCTACCTACCTTTAATACTTTGGCTTCCTCATTGAAAGTTCCACCTAACAGACCAATGACTTCTCCACGGGACACGTGGGCATGCTGGATGCAGGATCACAGAACAATTGATGAATTTAGGAGCATTAGAATACAGAAGGCAGTTATTTTGAAAAGAAGTCGAACAAAAAAGGAAACATTAATTGTTCATGGTGTGATCAAAAGGTTCTGGGACTGTTCATGGTGCGCCTCCATCACGGAGAGCGCATCACGGTCACACGCATGCAACATGTGCCTGCAGCATCTTACACGAGTCAGGAGACTGTGAGACAACAGAAAAACCTGGTCTACACATATTTTTGTGGCCACTGATAGGTGTGCGTTGGCTATTAGTTCGTAGAGTTTAAAGTGGAGCAGAGAGGAAACATTGCATCAGTGAGCAACCTTCATGTAGAGGATTATCTCTGTTGACAATAGGTGGGTCTGCAGCTACCACTGAGAGAAGAAACAACAGTTTTCACAGTGAAAGAGCCGCAGTTTCCAAGACTGAACAGGGAAAGCCAGGTCAGGAGCACCAAGAGCACGCCTGTTGTTTTCTTCAACATTCACAAGGTTGCACACCAGGAATTAGTCCCTTGGTATTGAACTGTCAAGGCAGTGTTCTACTGTAACATTTCGAGGTATTTGAGGAAGAATATTTGACGCAATCGACCTGAACTGTGGCATAATAGCATGTTGGTGTTCCAATGTGTGCTCCAGTCACAGCAAAGTAATTACACACAATTTTGTGGACCACACAATCGTCACTTTCCACCCACTCCACTCACTAGATTTTGCCCACTGTGACTTATTTGTTTTCCCTTAAACAAAATTCAAGTTGAAAGGTTTTGACACAGCTTAGGAGATTCAGTTGCATTTGCACACGGTGCTTGGCATGTTTGCATAATGGTTTCCAGGAAGCGTTAGAAGTGTAGCACAAGCGTTAGGTACGCTGTTTCACTGCACAAGGAGGCCACTTTGAAGTAGATGTGGCCAAAATTAAATCTGGTATGGTTTGATTTTTATAGGCACAGTCTTGGAACCTTTTGATCACACATCATATTATCAAGCGTCTTCCCTTACAGAAAAGCAAAAGAAATAAATGAATCTCACAATCTGGCAGGCTGAAACCACAGTAAGAATACATTCAGCATACAATTTTGTGCGTACTATACCATGTCCATGATGAGAAGAGTCTCAGCACACACGATGACCTGGAATGGTTCCTGAGGAAAACGGCATAGAAGTGCTTTTAACACATAAGCTTGATGTCTTGGAATGTTTTCAGTTCCTCTGTAGTTCAGCTTATGTTAAGGCAGCAGTCAATGAAGACAAGACAAAAAGGTTAAATGAGTGCATGTTACATCTGATGTCGATGAAAAAGCAGGACTTCCCGATGCTCTTTCAAAGACTGTCTGATTAAAGAGATTGATTTTCAGGGGAAACCGACTGTGTTCTGTTTTAAACTGTGATGGAGACATAACTCCATTAAATGGGTGATGAGACTCCAACGCGGCATGAAAGACAGCACTATCGGCAACTAAATGATGAGAGAGATGGTCACTGACCTGCACATCCTCTTCAAAAGACCTGCAGGGAATCAGCTGGAATGGATCAAAAGACCTAGTGGAAGAAGTGAAAATATATAAGTATTCCTGTGTGTATAATTTGGTACATGTTGCATTAATCCATCGCGCTCACCCTCTGTATCTGGACATTTTGTAGGGTTTAGGCTGCTTCTTCATCTCTTCTCTCCGCAGAGTCAGTTCCTCAGCACTGAGATGCTGATAAACACACCACCAACACACACTCAATAGAAATACTAATATGAATTCCCCTAAAGATGTACAGTGTGTATGTAAGACAACGTCCAAACCTCGTACGTCTGTCCCTCCAAGTCTTTAGCGTCACACCAGTTGCCCCATATGTCCCGCACACGTCGCTTCCGGGTCCGCTGCAACCAATCAGCAGTCAGCGTAAGGTTCGGAAAGCTTGTAATTTAACTACTTGTGGTGTCAGAGTCTGTGGGTTTGTGGGTACCTACCATGCTCTGCAGTCTCTGCGCCAGCTGATAAGCTTCAAGCACATCTTTGCCTTCCTTATGCTTAGAGCGGTCCACCACCTTAGGGCGATTATACACAGCTTGCTCTATAAGAAGAAAGTCAGAGCCCCAAAGTCAAAAAGAAAGCAAGATGTACAGACAAAAAGAAAAGAAGGAAATGCTGTTGTAAGGCCTTTTCAGACATGGGATATATAACACTGGTGGCTTCATCAATCTGTTAAAGTGATGAAATTTTGCTATTCAGAAGTAGGTCACTTTATACGTTATACGTCACCTTCTTTTAGACATATATCCACCATAGTGATGGAGAGAGCCACAATAAACCTGTGATTATAACAAACGAGATTGGACGGAACATCAAGTGGTGTATAATACACGATGATGCTCTAATCTACAAAAGACTAAATACAAACTGATAGCAGCCTTACAAACCCATGCAATAAACTAATGGCAAGTATAGTTTTGACAGCCGCCATGTAACCAATGATTTAGCTGCAGAATAGTACAGTGTGCCCTGCTGTTAAATCCTGACCGATCCATCTGTGGAGGACTTTAATAAATCCAGGAATCTCTGTATGTGTGTACATGTTCTTTGCATCTCTGAGCAACCGTTAATCCAATCTGCTTCAAACTTGTGTATTGTGGGAAACTTAAGAATGAGGAGTGTCTAATTTCAACCAAGTGAGGTTAATGGAATCCATTTTACGGGTCTTTTTTTGTATTCTCAATCTGGTTTTTGGCTGCCTTTGAGCAAAAACTTTGTTGCTAGGTACAACATGCAAATGTACAACATCTTGTGATAGTGTCAAATTCTGACCGAGGTCACTGCACTAGTTATTTATAAGAAATTAATAAAGTTACTGTTGTTGATGCTCATATGGATCTTGCTGCTGTCTACTGCTGCGGGTATTTAGTAAACTCAGAGGAAATACTCCTACAAACTGCAGGAAGCAACAAACTAAACTTCGGCTCCTGTTAACATTTTATCAAAACCCTGATGACGTTCATTGTTTGTGGGTCTCTTCAATCTGACCTGTTACAGTATCCATCCTTACAGAAGTAAATGAGCATTTTTTGTGAACATTTCAATTTGAAATAAATGTGAAATTGTCGGACTAAGTGAATGAAAAGAATGAAAAAAGGGGTTGTGCGATTCTGGCCATAAACTGTGTCTTTTTCTTTCTGTGATGTTTTTGGACAGATATTTTTTGAAAAATCCTTCCCTAAATTGCTTCACTCTACTCTAAACATGTTGCTTGTGTGTGCTGATCCATTAATGTGACAGCATGCTGTTCAAACTTGCGCCGTGTAAAAGTAATCTGGTAAGATTAACGGATCAGACGCGAAGGAGGCAGCGAGATTAATAAAAAGGAGACGTCTCTGAAAGGAGCTTTTGACTCAGCGTGGTTACCGCAGTTGAAGTTGATGGCTCCAATGAGCTCCAGGTAGGTGTGTATTCTCCCAATGCAGTTGACGTCTCCACAGTTCTTCAGACCAGGGCGAACAGACGTCTTGTTCAGGTACTTGGGTTTACTCTTTAGCCTAGTGGACGAAGACACAAATAACCACCTTCTCTGCAAAGTTGTAGCAAACAAAGTTACCAAACATGAAAGCGTGTTTTACCATTGGTCCAGGATGTAGTTTCTAATCTTAAGGTATCTTTCAGGGGTTTTTGAAGGTCGTCCCTCAAAGAACTCAGGGATGGCTTGTTTCTCATCCTCGGTGATGGCCTCCATGTCCATCTCTATTTCTTGTTCAGGGGCTTTAAGCTCCTCCTCTTCCTCATCTTCATCCTCTTCCTCCTCTTGGTCCTCGTCTGGTCCATCATTTAGACTCTCAATCTTATCAGCGGGATCTAGGAGGCAAAAAGGTGCACAGTTATGAAAGTAAACTTAAGAGAAAAGCATGGCAGTAGATACGCAAAAAACAAGCGTGGCTCACCCATGCCATCACTATCTTCCAGCAGACCAGTCCGTGCTGAAATCTCATACTGGGAGATCTGGTCCTCGTTGGCGTCAGTCATTAGCTTTGATTCTGTTTGTGATTGTGTCTGAGGGCTTTCTGGAAACACAGAAACTGTCTTGTTGGCTTTATCGTCCTTTATCGTTACACCAGGTTCCTCTGAACAGAGAAGGGAAGACGAGGGTTGAGGACTTTGAGGAGAAAGAGCGCTCTGCTTGGGTTGGTCCTTTGTCTCATGGATGCTCTCTACCCCAGTCACACCCTCCTCATTCTCTTCTTCTTTCGCATCGCCTGTTTGAATCTCAGCCTCTGTTTGCTCTTCTGGTCCACAGAACTCAGCTTTGAGCCCAATCTGCGGTTTTTCATCTGCACCTTCATCGTCGCTCAGGTCGTCAGTGATGTCTACGTCCTCATCCTCATCATCAGAAAGCTTCTCTATGCGGACTGCATTGGCCAGAGTGGACACATGACTGGAGGTGGGTTGAGGAGGCTGTAAGTGTAGCACAGGACCTGCAGAGGGAGCTGCAGCTCTGGGTTCTGATTTAGCCTGAAAAAAAATGTACAGATGACTGTTTATCCTTCACTTTTATTTCTCAATCCTTACCAAGGAATTTGTTCTGGTTGTGAAAGTATTTTAATAATGAGGATACTTTAACTGTGGTAGACTACGACTGAGCTTGTATAACAGAGTGAAACTTGTGTGTACGCTCTGCATGCCACCTAAATGCAGCATAGCACATGCAGAAAGGCTCACCTTGTGTTTGAAATACTGTCTGGCATAACTCTTGACCTGAAGAACAGTTCGACTGCCCACCAGCTTGGCGATCTTAGTCCACCTTCGACCAAACTGAGCCTGCAGAAAAACACACTTTAGCCATCTAGCATTTTAGATAAACCACCAAGTGCATCATATATAACAGAAGCAATGACATTACAGAGACAAAAGCAAGTGACTGCATGTTTACAGCAAAGTCTTACCAGTCCTTCCTCAAACAGTTCTTTCTCCTGCTTGGACCAGCGAGAAGATGAACCAGAGGCCGAAGTTGGGTTTTTGGCGGGAGACCTGAACATCCGACAGACAGGAGTGTGACAAGAATGCCAGCAAACTGAGGAATCAGATGTGTGCTGCGATCAAAGTGAGCGTTGAAAGAAGAACAGACTTACTTCTTCACTTTGGGTTTTTTGTTGGCATCGCTCTGCCATATTTGGTCTGGAATCTCCTTACCCGTCAGGTAATATCTTCAAGTGTAGTTCAGGACAACTGCTTTAATAATTGTTGCAGCAAAAACAATAATAAAGCTCTATAACTGGCTTATCGTTTATATGAAAGCAACTAGCTGATTACCTCATAACTGAGTGAAAATGCTGCTGCTGCATTTCTAGTGCAAGTGGCACTGATTATGCATCTTTTGAAAGCAAAAAAAACCCTCACTATTCAAACGGTGTAAACTATTTCACAGATATTAAAACTACAGCTAAAATAGTAGCAGTAGATCTTTACTCAGACGTCACACAGCAAAACAAAACATCTTGCCTTTTCTTTCAGCCACCATACTTGTTGAATCTTGTGCTGAGAACTGTTTTTACTCTAAGATTCCACTACACAAAATACTACTATGACAATTTATGTATTTGGGAGCCTCACTGTTTGTCCTTTTACTTTTTAATTTTCTTGTCTTTTTTATTTTCCACTTGACTAAAATTGTCAGTATAAGTGTGGAATTTGACTTTTAAACTAACTTCCAGCCTCCAGAATGAGTGAGAGCAAGTGCTTTATCTGTAATGCGACACAGAACAGAATGTGATGGGTCACTTCAACACAAACTAAAATGAACAATAAAACTTTTATTCTATTACTCGTATTTAGGATATGTTTCTAAATATAGGGGTTGAAATAAAACTCCTGCAGAGAACAGTGCATGTGTGAAAGGAAACTCTGTTGTGATCAGCCCAGTTTCTGCTGTGTGGAAACAGGCCTGAACAGTATAAAAACAAAATTGCAGTTCGTAATAATGCAATTAGAAAATAGCAAAGGCTGCAGTTTAGGATATATGTTTTGCAGCATTTCCAATGAAATCCTTTTCTGATAACTCATCTGATCTAGTTTCTTAGATAATACAGCTAGTATGAGCGTATGAACATTAGGAAGGGGACACATTGTGAGTTTAAAGGGTTCTTATGCAAAAAATTCTGATGAACACTTTATATCTTGCTTTATGGTGAATTTTTATTCACAGATTTATGTCTTCTCTGCACGCATCTGCATCTGTCTTGTTTTTATCAGGGGGACTAATGCATATGTTAAAAATATAGGGGAGGGCAGTGCACACATGCCTTCCTTAAATATAAACCTATGACAGCTCACCAGTAGTTTCTAGGCAACAGCAAGCAGTAGGCACAAAAGGGAGGTTTTTCTGTACTAGTACGACGTGTGTCACAAAAGTTTCAGGACTGGTGTCACAAAAGATATATTTCAAGTCCAAACTAAAAACTACAAGTTTTCCCCTTTAGACGATCAACCCGCACGTCTACAAAGAGATCCTACAGCATTTGCTTGATTCATTGCGTGAGAAGAGGCGAGAGTTGTGGCAGGACAAGTCGTTGCTGCTTCACCATGACAACGTGCCTGCTCACAATGCCCTGATCATCTGACAGTTCCTGGCTGAGAAGAACATCGCCGTGCTGCAAGGGGGTCATCAAGAGGACCCATTTTGAAGACGTGAATGACATCAAGATGGCTGTGACGAAAAAGCTGCGGAGGATCCCAGAAGAATCCTTCCAGGAGTGCATGGCAGTGTGGCAGACAAAGGTTGAGAAAGTGCGTTAGACTCCAGGGGGATTACTTCAAGGGGGAAAGTTTGTAGTTTGGAATTGAAATATATCTTTTGTGACACAAGTCACTACTTGTATATTAATCCAACTGTGTCATAATCTATACACGCATACATACTGATATATTATCAATGGAATTAGTGTTTTGTCCTCTAAAAGATGTTGTGTAGCAGTTTAGGTTATATGTTATGCAGCATGTCTGATCCGGGGTTTAACTGTTTATACACAGTCAGGATTTTGATTGATCTCAAGTGATAACCCTCCATCACATGTTCTAAATCTGTTACACAGCAAATGAAGCTTGACTATGAAAAACTGTACTGCATAACAAATCACAACATTTGTTGGAATAATTTGATATTTTCCCCCAATTGTTCAGCTCTATGTGGTCAGGCACATTTGTTTCCCAGCAGCTCATTATCTGTCTGTTTTTTTGTGCTTATTTACATTAGTCGCAGATTGGGCCCTATTGAAAGTAAAGTATTTCTGATTCTGAAAGAATTCCCTCCTGCAGCATGTCACATCTGTGAATCAGTCCAACATCTGGTGGTGCATTCAGGGTCAGTAAAAGGATACTGTTCCTCCAGCAGCATCCTCTCTATCACCTCTCTGTTCTCCGGGCTGATGGAGTTGTCCAGCTCCCAGGGCTGAACAAAAAACAGAGACAGAGTCAACTCTAACTCTCACAGTCACACCGGAGAACAGATGAATAACAGAGCTTCATTCACTCCTACCAGCATCCAGGAGCTGCTCCTCCCCGCAGGCTGAACGATCTGCTCCGGGACTAACCCTCCTCCGTCCATCTCACTGCAACAACAAACACACAAGCCGTCACTGATGCAACACGTGAACGACAGATGAGACACAACATTTCTGTAACACACAACACAGCTGATGTTTATCCTGCCGCTGTAGGTCTGAAAACAGCATCCGGGTCTTTCTTAACTGTCCGGCACCGCAGCGCAGGAGACCAGCACACAGCGCAGATACGGATTTATTAAAATGAGGGAGAATCTTTACTGAATATTGCTGTCAAAGTCGTCTCCCTCGATGTCAACATCCACCTCGTCCTCCATGTTGTTGGATGAAAATAAACAACGGAGAGAAGAGGAGAAAGCTGCAGGAGAACAAAGAGCCGGTCTCCTCACAGCGACACCTGGCGGCCGGAGGAGTGAACTGCAACATGTTTCTGCAGCTGCTGTCTAATGTTGCTCTGCTGCCTCTTTCTGAGCAGATTTCACCTTAGTAATAACAGTATACAAAGTAGGTAAAACTAATTCAACATAATCACATTATTGTAGGACTAATCTAATAAAAACTTTTCTTTAAATTTATGTTTTAAGTTCTGTAATTTTTCTAAAGTAATATGTTGCAAAACTTTTACTTATATTCTGTTCTTTGCACAGTGTCGTACCTACACCTTTACTTAAATAATCTGCGTACGTCTTCCACCATTGGAAATGAGACCTTATGAGATTCTTAATTCAGGTTCAGTGTTTGGCACTTCAGCTACAACTTCAAGAAACTGTAACCACAGAGACGTGCTGTTCATTGCACACAATAAATTAGTACTAAATGTAATTCAAATATGCTGACGATGCTTTGTGCAACATTTGACCTGAGGGTGGTGGTACAGGAAAGACAGCAACAGTGAAATAATCAGGGTGTCATGTTTTCCCATTGGAAGTATTTCAAGTAAATCTCTTAGAATTTGTATATGAAAAGATAAGACAAAGACACAAGAGAAAGAGAGAAATTTCTAGCTGTAACAATAGAAAGAAAAAAAGAAGACATTTTTAACTTTCGAAGAGAAAAAGACGATTTGCATGCTGTGTTTGGATTTTTTGATCAGTGTCAAACTAAAAGTGACCAACTGCTGCTTCTGTCAGTAACTCATCAGTATTCAGTGTTTGTGTGTTCAGGCTCATAATCCACAGAGCAAATATTCTATAAATGTGTGTTACTGTTTTCATGCTTTTTTTTTTTTTTTTTGCTCACCTGCTACACCCTCAGTAGTTTCACCTAGTCTCTCTGGATTTATATTCTGTCTCTTCACCACTGTTCTTCCTCTTAAAGCTGCCTTGTGTTCTGTTTTTTTGTATTTAACACCTTTTGGATTTCACTTTGCATCATTTGGTTTTTCATTTTTGACCTACCTGGACCTCCAGCTGCTTCAGTTTTGTTATCCACAAACATACACAAACTTTTAACTTCTTATTCTGCACCTCAACACTTCAGATTAGAGATCAAAGTTCTGTTAAAAGTTCCACAGTCCAAGCTTAAAACAAAGTGATTTTGTTGTTTTACCCTTCAATCACTATCGACTGGTGGCCCTGACACCCCACCTGGCAAAGACCCTGGAGAGGCTGGTCCTCCACCACCTGCGCCCACTGGTGAGCTCTTCGGCAGACCCACTGCAGTTTGCCTACCAGCCGAGCATCGGGGTTGAGGACGCCATCATCTTCCTCACACAGAGATCCCTGTCTCACCTGGAGAGGCCTGGAAGCACTGTGAGAATCATGTTCTATGACTTCTCCAGTGCTTTCAACACCATCCAACCAGAACTCCTGAGGGACAAACTGGAGCACACAGGAGTGTGCCACCAGCTGACATCATGGCTCCTGGACTTCCTCACCAACAGGGCACAGTTTGTGAGGACACAAGGCTGTGTGTCTGAGACAGTGATCTGCAGCACAGGGGCACCTCAAGGGACTGTTCTGGCTCCTCTCCTGTTCATCATTTACACAGCCGACTTCACCCACTACACATCAAACTGCCACTTGCGAAAGTTCTCGGATGACTCTGCCATCGTCGGTCTCATCAGCAACGGAGACAAGAAGGAGTACTGGGAACTAAACCGGAACTTTGCCAGCAAAACTGCCTCCGGGTTAATGCCGGAAAAACCAAGGAGCTGGTGGCTGACTTTCGCCGGCATAAAATCACCCCTCCCTCTCCAGTGAACATCCAGGGAATGGACATTGAGATAGTGGACTCTTACAAGTACCTGGGTGTTCACTTGAGCAAAAACCTGGACTGGACCGTTAACACTCGGGCTCTGTACAAAAAGGGTCAGAGCAGACTCCACCTTCTGCGCAGACTGAAGTCCGTCGGTGTGCAGGAAGGCCTCCTAAGGACTTTCTATGACTCGGTGGTGGCGTCAGCCATTTTTTATGGTGTGGTCTGCTGGAGCAGCAGCATCACGGCAGCTGAGAGGAAGAGTCTCAACAAGTTGGTGAAGAAGGCCAGCTCCGTCCTGGGCAGCAGTCTCGATCCTGTGGAAGTGGTAGGTGACAGGAGGATGATGACAAAGCTGTCATCATACATGGACTATACCTCCCAACCTCTACATGGAACTGTTAAAGCCCTGGAAAGTTCCATCAGTGCCAGGCTTCTTCACCCACGCTGTTCTAAAGAGAGGTACCGCAGGTCCTTCCTCCCTTCTGCTGTGAGACTCTACAACCAGCTATGTTCCCAGTGGACCCACAACGTGCAATATCCTCTAGCTAGTATACCAAAAAGGAGCAATACTCATATTTAACAATATTTATTTAAACTTCACTGGTTATTTGCACTATCTCTCATATGTATGTATGTATATATCTGCATTTGCACTGCTTATTATTATTATTACTATGATGATATATGTATTCCCTATCTTTTACACACACACACACACACACACACATATATATATACATCTTTTCTATGTACCCCCATTCAGAAGCCCATTCTCATATTCTGTTTGCACTATTCTCTTTTATGTGTACTTTTATACTTGTTTGCACAATTTCTCATATTTATATGTGCATTTTTCTGTCTAGTATGTGTGTATCTCTATGTGTAATGCTGCTAACAACAATGTGATTTTCTCCACTGTGAGATAAATAAAGGCATATCTTATCTTAGCTCATCTTATCTTATGCTCAAGGAACAAGCTCGAATTTACAGTTAAAAAGCTTTTAAAAACACACCTTGCCCAGACAGACATTTGTACAGCTTTTGATCTTTTTTCTACTCTGACCGTCTTTACTATTGTTTTATTGTCATCTGTTAATACTTGATTGTTCCATTCAGTTATTCTTTCAATACATGAATGTGACAGAAAATGACGTTTAAGCAAAAAAACCTTTTTAATATTTAATCGGAATCACAGAGTATTTTATCCACAGAAACAAACTGTGGTACACAAACCCTTCACAGCTGACACTGTGACCATCTGGGGAATTAAACCACATGTTTACAATTATACAATCAGGACAATAGAATAATTCAATTCAGTATCATGTATATATTGCATAAATTCAGCTCAATCAATACATATCACTTCAGTTCAATTCAATTAATTAAGTAACTGCAACTAAAATACTCCATCTATTACATGAATCTCTACATTGTACATTTATTATAGTCAAAGGAAAACTTTACTTTTGAGTAACTTTTTACAAACGCAAATTTCATCTACAATTAAAATTCAATGAAAGATGAGTCACATGTTCAAAATGGTAAATGGTCTGCACTTATATAGCGCCTTTTTCTACCTTAGCGATCCTCTTTAAATTAAAGCTGCAAGCAGCGTTGGTCGGGTCCTCGGTCTGTATTGCAACCTCATGCCCATCTGACCTCCATTTTGACAATTTATTCCCCTTCACTAGACTCTGACCGACTAATAGGCAATTTTCATAGTGTTGATATCATCAACCATTTTAGAGATATGTAGCTTTAAGTTCATAGGATGATTTTGTCCTTTTATTATTTTGAAGAGCCAATTGTGGACTTCCTATTTAAGATAGGTCTGGGGTGTCAGAACGAGATTTATCGGAGTTATTGAGACAAACGTTTTGGTGTTGGTTTGATCTCTCTATGACATTCCTACTGGCTACTAGGGCCGTTCAAGTGTGCCTTTTTGTGGCTAGGCGGCGCGAGAGAGCACATTTTGGAATGTTGGAGATTTATATTTAGGTGTTATAAAATTGTGTACCCCATCTGCTGTGTGTTTCACTTTTGGCAGGGCTGTTAGCATGTTAAGGGTGTCAAATTATGGTGCAAAGTGGGGAAGTTTGGGTGAGCTCTTATTTTGAAATCTGAATTGATCACTTCCTGTTCGAGATGTTATTTGGGGTGTCCCATGGACTGTATAAAAGATGGACGTAGCAACCGGCCCTGAAAAATGAAGCCATCCCGGAAGTGTCAAAAACCTGCAACATCACTACCTCCGCTACTTGCTGGCTCCAAAAAGCCGTGGCTCCCATAGACTTGAATTGGAAAAGAAGTGATCACAGATCGCGAAATACCACATTCCTACAGCTCAGGATTTTTTTCTTATTAGTTTTCAGAGTCAAATCCAGAGATCAGGTGGCCAATCTGAAAATAAATCAATACTGAATTTTGAAAAATTTTTTAACATTTTGCAGGGCAAGAGGCGTGGCTGCTTTGATTGACAGTCGGCAGCGACGATGCAGACGAAACAAGCAGAAAGCGGTAAATGTGGGCGGGCAGAGAAGACCTACCTCTCAATCCGTCTGACCAATCGCTGCTCCTATGGTTCCACCCCCCTCCGACGATTTTGCAGTCACTGGCTGTGTCTGAAATCACCCACTCACTCCCTCCTCCCTACTCCCTATATAGTGATCACTATATAGTGCACTATGTAGTGCACTATATAGGGAGCACCTCGGCAAAGTATCATTTCAGACACTACTCGAGCTATTAATTACGTCGCTCGCCAGCCGCGATTTGTGCTGCAACAGCGTAGTACAAACACATCAAATTAACAGTTTATTGCGTAGCTAAGAAATCGAATTAAATCAAGTTTATTGTCATTTTGCTGTACATACCAGATGAGAGAGCGTTTCTTCAGGATCCAGTAACTAAAAGCAATTTAAATAAAGTGGTGTTGTATGTCCAAATCACAACCGAGCGCCGCAATTTTAGCGACGTTCACTGTCCGGGTAAAATAAAATGTAACAAAACAAACGGGAATTTTTCCGCGCTCTTGTTCATCTCCATTTCCTTTCGCGCAATGCATGACGGTCCATACTGCTCGGTTAGTGACCATCGGCTGTACACTACTTTTTACGGTGC